CTTGATTGTCCACCTGAATGATCTCAAACTTCAATTCTGAAAAATGTTTGGACATTTACAGTAAGTAACAGAAGTTGTCCCAGGAGGACTAAGAATCTGTACTATCAACAATCAGTCTACACCCTTTTTTCAGCTATTTTAAATTTGGTATTGGTTGGTTGTATTAACTATTGTGAAAAAAAATTCAGAGTTTTGTGCACATTGTTTTGAGAAAATTATTTGCATGATTTGTAATTTGTAAAAATGAATGAAAACGTTCAATCTGTTCACAAAGTATTCAGATCACTGTGTTAACTGTTTTGAGAACAGTGACCTGAGTTTGGAGAAATGTGTCAAATCAATTGAGGAAAAACTGTAATGAAAAATTCAAGAAAAAAAAGCAAGCCCACACAAGTTCTTTTACTACCACCATCATTTTCTGTGCATGGTTGATGCCAGAAATGTTAGTCATTTAAGTATTTTTATTTAATTGTTAGAAGATTAAAACGAAGTGAAAACCGCTCTTATACTGAGACTAATTATGTTTATTAAATTATAGAAAATTACAACAAACGCTGGAATTTTCCTTTCCATTATTTGAACCTGGAACCTTCAAATTAATAACCACTTAACTACCACCCTTTATTTTGAGTGGTAAACGCTAGAAACTGGCATAAATTATACAATGTTTTTTTTTTTTTACTTTATCATCCAAAGGACATCACAAGTATACTAACCCTCAAACTGCCCCGACTGCCAACAGACATCCGCTCCTCATCATCTGATATCTAATACAGGAAGACAAAGAACTTTATGTAAAAAGACAAAGAAAACTTAATATGTAACTTGAACCCCCTAGAAATATGACATTAGATGAATACTTTACAACAATGCTTGTTTTATCAGTAAAAAAAGAAATGTATGTATATTTTACATCGTGTGTGTGTGTGTGTGTGTGTGTGTGTGTGTGCGCGTGTTTTTGTGACATATGAGGACACACATTTGTATAATGACATGGGTATGACATGAGTATTACAAGGAGAAGGTGACTTATAAGGACATTACCCCATGCCCCCATTTTTCAAAACGCTTATAAATCATACAGAATGAGTTTTTTTGAGAAAGTAAAAATGCACAAAGTTTCCTGTAAGGGGTAGGGTTATGTGTAGGGTTGGTGTAGGGCAATAGCACATACAGTTTGTACAGTATAAAAACCATTACGCATATGGAATGTCCCCACAATTCACAAAAACAAACATGTTCCTCCAATCATTCAAAATTAAAAAAAATAATAATCAAACCGCCCTGATTCATTGTAACCATATGGAAATTAGAATGCAATTTAGTTTTCAAATTTTCTCCTCTTTAGTGACAGTCTTTTTCAACCTGATCTCATGACGAAAACTTACCCGTGGGAACTTTTTTGCAACACACAACATACATACCGCCATATGTTTCGAGACATATTCGATGTGAAATGTCGTGTCTGAGTGGCGCTAAAAGAGTGTTTGTTTTTTCCCCTGGAACAGAAACACGTACATATGGCACGTTTTATGTGACGTTGGTTTTGTAAGTGTCACTGCAGTTCTGACTTGAAATGTCCGTTAAGTGGTGCTATAACTCTAATGCTCTGTGACGTTTTAAAATAACCTACCAACTGCACTACAACTAAACCTACACGATAGAGTGTGGTATAATGACAGGTCATACCATCCACTGTTCAATATGGCCCCATTTGCTGTCCAGCCCATAGTATTTCTGGTGCAGAGAGGAGGAGAGCAAGACGATCGAATGAGGAAGGGTTATGCAAGTATAATGTAGGAATATGAGGATGTTAAAAACAGGTGTGAAAGAAAACATGGTTTGAATGTGGGACTGGTCCTGTTTTTTGTTCTTCAAGCTTTGGTTATGTTTTTGTTAACTGATGCTCATAAAATTCGAGTTGCATAGATGTAAAATAATGCAAAATACTACAGCTTATATTTCTAATGAGCAAATTTTGTGTAATGTTAGAAAGAAATGAAGAGTATGGAGGGACAGATCTTACCTTTTGCGCTTGATATATCTAAATAAACAGCGGGGAGACCAGGAGGAAGAGAAAGAAAGAAAGTAAGACAGGAAGAGAAAGATATAAAGAGCTTGAAGAAGAGTAGAAAGTTCACTTGTAAATAAATCAGAATAGGTATAAAGAATATAAATCTAACAGATTAGTTAGTTTAGTTACTATACAGATTAGTTACTATTAGGTAGTACAGAACCCAAAACATTCTCAAAAGCCTTTTAAAACATGACGCTGATTCAAAATGACAACACATTAACCCTTAATGGTCTCAGTATTTGGGAGGATGTATTTTACATGCTATTTTCATGGAAGATATACATTTGAAAATAAGAGCAATATTTTGAAGAAAGAGGTGAAACTGTATTATTGCAATCAGAGTCCCTAAATAAAGCATAAAATGAATTTTCTTTTTTATATTTTTATGTTAAAATTGGGTTAAAAGAGTTCAAAATGTTGTCTTTGACTGGACTTTTATTAGACACATATACTACCACTGAAATTTGGGAGTCAGTAAGATTTTTCTTTTATTATTATTTAATTAAAAAAAAACTAAAAATATTTTATTCAGCAAGGATGCATTAAACTGATCAAAAGTGACAGTAAAGCTTTTTTCAATTAAATACTTTTTTCAATTAAAAAAAAAAGTCTCACTGACTCCAAACCTTTGAATGGGATTATGTCATAAACATAAGCCGATACATATATGATATGTATGATACATTCTAATCACATTTTCAATTTACTATTACAGAGTAGCTATTTTCTAAAGTAAACACCAGCACAGACACATATACACAAACACACACACACACACACACACAATGATCCATGATCACATGCACCCCCCTTTTTTTCCACATGCTAAGCAAAACCTTTTTATGAAACAAGAATATTTATACACTCTTTTCTCTGCTTCACAACTCATGCACTTTAAGACTGGTTTAAAGGTTTAAATCATGAATAGCTGTGTTTCTGCCCCAGTTCAATTGTGAGAGTACTGTACTTTAATCCTGAAGTGATTTATGAGAAATAAAGTGAATTCATACATCTTTCAAGGTCAGCGGTTCTCATTCCTGGTCATGGTGTAAACCTGCTCTTTTTTCATGTCCCTTTTTGTGTATTATGAGTGAGTGATTGAATCATTCACTAAGCTGACTTGTTCAAAAACACATTCATTCAGGAAAGAAACAACTATTTGTTGCAACTATGTGCTGAACGAGACATGCAATGCTTGATTCTCTTTGGCTTCATTTGGGAGTTTTTTTTTTCAATGACAGAGCAAAAAGAGACAAAACTGGCAATATTGTTTTTGAAATATAAGTTATTGGTAATTGCACTCTTGCTTGAAAGATATTGCTTAAATAAAGAGTGAACTACATGTTGTGCCAGTTTGAAATAATTTTCATCTTATGTAGAAACTTACAGGCCATTTTGTAGATCCTAAGAATAAACAGTAGAACTGTAACAGTCTGACAAACAGATTATCTCCTGACCTCTTTCTGTTGCCTCTCCAATTCCTTCATACGGATTTCTCGAGCTTCTGCCCGGGCTGCCCGTTTAGCTGCCAGTCTTGCCTCTGCCTGGTAGAAAGATATAGAGAAAGAGAGGGATTCAGAGTCAGAAGAGTCAAATAGAGAAAAAATGCACATAAACATTTACAAATAAAAATAAATAAATCACATAAAATGTACAAAATGCACTTGCATTTACATTTTTCTATTCAATATGAAATTCAGGACAATGTACTGTACCAGTGTGAGTGAGAAAGGCTACAGAGTATGACAGAGAGAAACCTTTTCTACTTGAACTCTATGCACTGCAAAAGCTAAAACTGAAGTTGAGGAGAGTTCTTCGAGTGTAATCAAATTAAGTAATTCACAGGCTTCCATTGATTAATCCATTATACTGTAGTTTTAATCTAATCATTGACTTCAACTGCAGATGAATGCCAGTGTTGTGGGTCCGGAAGGCCCATGGAAATGAGCACTGATCAGCAGCAACATTAGAAGATTAAGAACCATTAGAAATGATTATTCTACCGGTCAAGAAAATAGTTTAACTATGAAAAAAAAATAACATGACGGTCCAGATAAAGTATAAGTATAATTATATAACAATAAAAAGGGTCATTAATAGATTGTAATATCGTAAACTGTAAACACAAACAAAGATAGTGAATTAAAATCACTAAGCATAAAAGGGGTAGTTCACCCCAAAATGAAAATTCTGTCATTAATTACTCACCCTCATGTCGTTTCAAACCCGTAAGACCTTCGTTCATCTTCGGAACACAAATTAAGATATTTTTGATGAAATCGGAGAGCTCTCTGACCCTCCCATAGACAGCAACGCAACTCTAATGTTCCCAGGTCCAGAAGCGTAGCAAGGACATTGGTAAAACAGTCCATGTGACATCAGTGGCTCAACTTCAATTTTGCGAAGCTACGAGAATACTTTTTTGTGCACAAAGAAAACAAAAATAACATAACTTATTCAACAATTCTTCTCCACCGAGTTACGTCTTCTGCCATTTTGGAGAGTATCAAAGAACGTATTCGACGTAATCAGCGTTTTTTACGCTTAGGGGAAAGCGTGCGTATGCATTGTGATACTCTCTAAAATGGCGGAAGACGGTAACTCGGGGGGAGAAGAATTGTTTAAAGTCTTTTTTTTTCTTTGCGCACAAAAAGTATTCTCGAAGCTTCGCAAAATTGAAGTTGAGCCTCTGATGTCACATGGACTGTTTTAGCCCACAAATTACTCACCCTCAAGTCATCCTAGGTGTATATGACTTTCTTCTTTCAGACGAATCCAGTCGGAGTTATATTAAAAAATTGTCTTTGATCTTTCAAGCTTTTTAATGCCACTCAGCGGGTGTTGCATGCATCAGTCCAAAAGAAGTTAAATAAAAAGCGCCCATCCATAAAAAAATGTCTCACGTGGCTCCGGGGCCTCACAAAGGCCTCCTGTAGCGAATCGATGCGTTTCTGTAAGAAAAATATCCATATTCAATTACTCACTTTAATGTAGCTTGCGCCAACAGTCCTACACGGAAGCTGTTGGCAGCTCCAGGCGGATGATGTATAAGGTCAGCTTTGCGCATGCGCTGCTCAGAAGTGATGCACGCGGAAAGCGCAGGGAAGAGATCAAAACAAAACACTGGTCACTTATTAGAAGTACAAAACAAGGATTTGTAAAGAAGAATGTCAGAGGATTTCGATATAAGCCAGGAGGAAACTGGTTTTTCTTTGCTAAAGTAAGGAAATTTTGCTTCCTTTGCTCCTGTTAACAAACGTTGGTTTTCACGAGACTCACCGGCGCATGCGCAACACTGACCTCATACGTCATCAGCCCAGAGTTTCTTCCGTGTAGGGCTGTTGGTGCAAGCTACATTAAAGTGATTATTACGTTTTGAATATGGATATTTTTCTTACAAAAACACATTGATTCGCTACAGGAGGCCTTTGTTCACCCCCCATTTTTTTATGGATGGGCGCTTTTTATTTAACTTCTTTTGGACGGATGCATGCAACACCCGCTGAGTGTCACTAAACAGCTTGAAAGATCAAAGACCATTTTTAATATAACTCCGACTGGATTCGTCTGAAAGAAGAAAGTCAGATACACCTAGGATGACTTGAGGGTAAGTAATTTGTCGGCTAATTTCATTTTTGGGTCAACTAACCCTTTAAGCAAGCACACACACAAGCAGTGCCAGGAAGGAATAGCTCACTCACTGCCTCTAAGCTGCCATTTCCGGTCAACATGTGAAACCCAAAGGATAACAGAAAAAAGGCTTCTCAGCAATCCAACTGACGTAAAACATTGTAACGGCTTACTATCTATCATGTCTACTATCTATTACTATCTATGTCCTTAAACTTACTATGCATTTTCTACAGCTGTGGGGGGGGGGGGGGGGGGATTTTTCTCATATTACCATGAAATGTAAACACAACATAGGCTTGTCTTCATAGCTTCTGTAATGTTTGGGTTATACATGTCTCTTGAATTTCAATGGCAACAAGCTCTTGGCAGCCAATAATTTGCTGTAGAAAACACAAACTATATGTATCACTCTTGCAAGTGAACCAATATTTAATGTGTACCTGTATTATATTTCTTTTAATATTTGTCCCTTTGTTCTTTGTCTGAAATGTCAATTTAATATAGGTCCTTGTTTAAAATATATTACATTATTTACTACACTGTTTTTTCCTCCACTTGCATAAAATAAATACCATCTTTTTTAAATTATATTTTATAATAATGTACAAACCTGTATAAATATTGTTATTATGCATATGTCAGTGTTGTTCAGTGCCATATTTAACTCCCATCTGAACAGAGTAAATGTTGTTGTTGTTTTTTTCATAACAATGAGCAGAAAACAGAATACTAACACAAATATCTAACTAACATTTGACTGCACTACAAGTGTACTACAAGTACTTAGGTTTATACAATTAAAAGTCATATTTTCCATTTCTAAAGAAAAACAACATAACATGCATTGCATTCAAAGTGTTCAATCTGTAAAAAAAATCTTAACAGTATAAATCATTTGGAATTCCAATTTTGAGCACAATATTTTAATAGGTTTGTGGTGTAAAGTATTTCTCTTCAAGTCACTCAAACAGAAGTTGGTAACTTTGTTTTTGCTATGGAAACTATGTGATAATTTATGACTCACTAGGGGGCAGTGTTTTCAATGTATTGCTCATTACAAAATAGTGAACAAATTACCCAAGCATTTCCTTGGGTGGGTAGGTGGGTGGGTGAGTAGTGTGTCCCCTTGTCCAAATACCCACACTTGCGGTCTTGGCCACTTGAGAGCGCGTGTGCGCGACAGGAAGTAAGTGTGCAAGTCTGTCCCATGTCTTCAAAATGCCAAAGTGCAGTGCCCTTAATGGATACTAAATCCACACTATCTCGAATACCGCTCCGGAGCGCTATTCGAGGCTTAGTGTATCCCATCATGCATCATGTTCTGGAAATAAATCGTGAGACTTTTTGCCGAGATCTCGCGAGAGGTCACGGAAACCTTTCCAATATAAGTTAAATATTAATATAATAATTAGATATTACAAATAATTTGGTAGAAAACCAGTGTTTTTACTTTTATTGGTGCAAAGATGAGTTGTGGTGATATTTATTTTGTACAATATTTGCAACTGCTTTTTATCATTTAATTAGAAGCATCACAAATTAAAATTATGTCATGTTATAGGGACTACTTAACAGACATTTAGAAGAGAGAGAGAGAGCATTTTAAAAAGTAGTACACTATATTGTTGTTGTCATTACTTATATATAATGATTGTTTGAGAGCCTAATCAAAAACCTTGCTATTGGTCTAGAACAGGGGTGTTTAAGATAAGGCCAGTGCGATTATTTGAAGGGAAGAATGTCCATTTATTATGTTGCATTTGTAATAATAAAAAAGAAAACGTTTTGTAATCTAAGCTAAAATGAGTTTGACCTTTGTTGTCTGCAGTTTCTCTGCACATCCATATAGACAGCACGTATAATGCAATGTATGATGTCTGGCTAAATCTCTGACACATTGGTCAGAATAACAAGCTTGCCAAGCGACACAAACAGACTGTTAGAAAGCTTCTCTGGTTCTTTTGTCTGAACAAGTCACAACTCATTGAATAAGGGGCTTCAGACAAGCCTCTGCCCTAGATCCTGCCAACCACGTCCATTGGCCTGTCAACAGCGTGCAGAGAACTGGAGTTCACACTGCTCAGCAGAGCAACTCCCACAAGCTACTGACTATCACAGACTATCTGGACAAAGGAAAATGGAAATGACAGAAAAACATAGATAAAATATAAATTGGATAATTTTACGTGTTAATGATTTTCTGCCAAGAATATTTCATTATGATGTACAAAATAGTCTGCCTAGCAACAAGACAAACACTGCAACAATATTACAGTAATATTAATACTGAAATTCTCTGAGGTAGCGTTGTTTTCAGTTAAGGTCTGTTCAATCCAATAACCATGTGTTATAAACATTTAAATTTGAAATGTATATCTGTGTGTGTGGCTGAATACATTTACATATTTAAGTACTTAATAAAAATACCCTGCAATTGTGCTTTTACTACACTAAACTGGTATGCTTAAAATCTGCTAAATTGAAACAATTAATTTTGTACCTAATTGTGCTGAAGTCCAACTAAAGATATACTTTAGTATATTTGATTGTGCTATTATTACCATTACCATTTACCTGTTTAACAGTTCTATCTCTCTCTGAAACAGAGACAGTAAACTAATGAAAATGGAGAATGGGAGCTAAAACATTCAGGCGCTAACGTTCTCAGCACTGTCAAAATAAACGTCCTGCTTTCGATACATTGGCCAAGCAGAAAAGCATATCGGCTGATGTCGATAATTTAAAAAATGTCAAATAGTGGATGATATATCAGCCACCTTTTGGTTTTAATGTGGTATAATCATGTTAATAATCCATGTGGACTATGGTCATCATCAATATTAACAGAATTAACTGAAAATTAATAACCCAGCTAGTCCATAGGTGTGTGTGTTAAACAACAGTTTTAGGC